GCAGGGATCATAGGATCCCAGCAAGATAAACATTCAGATGTCTTTTGAAGGCGTTCAGAGTAGGTACTTCAACCACCTCCGGTGGCAGTCTATTCCAAACCTTGGGGGCTTGGACAGTAAAGAAGTTCTTCCTTATGTCCAGCCTGAAACGGTCATGGAGGAGTTTGTGACCGTTCAACCTTGTCATCCCTTGGGGCTCTCTGGTGAACAGACATTCCCCCAGATCCTGGTAAGCACCCCTGATGAACTTATAGGTGGCCACCAGATCGCCCCTGAGCCTGCACTTTTCCAGGCTGAAGAATCCCATGACTCTCAGCCTCCCTTTATAAGATCTGCTTTCCTGACCTTTGATCATGCGTGTGGCTCTCCTCTGCACCCTCTCAAGCTTCTCCACATCCTTTTCGAGTTGTGGAGCCCAAAACTGAACACAGTATTCCAGCTGCGGCCTCACCAAGGCCGAGTACAACGGGAGGACGATGTCCTAGGATTTACTTGAGAAGCATCTGTGGATGCAACCAAGCGTTTTGCTTGCTTTACTAGCAGCAGTATCACATTGCAGGCTCATATTCATCTTGTGGTCAATCATGACCCCCAACTCCTTTTCGTCCATAGTGCTAGCCAGCATAGCACCGCCGAGCCTATAAGCATGCTATTTTTTTTAGTGTTAAACACAATCAGGTTCTTGTCTGCCCATTTCCTGAGCTTGTCAAGGTCAGCCTGGATCACCACCTGTCCTCAGGTGTGGGTGCTTTACCCCAGAGTTTGGTGCCATCAGCAACCTTGGCCAGTCTGCTTCTGACTCCAATGTCTACATCATTAATGAAGATGTTAAATAGTATAGGCCCAAAGACAGAGCCCTGGGGGATCCTACTGGTCACAGGGCATCACGACGAGTGACTTCCATCAAACACCACCCTCTGGGTCCTACCACGGAGCCAATTGCCCAGCCAGCAGATCGTGGTGTGGCCAAGGCCGCAGTTAACCAGTTTTACTACGAGATGATCATGGGATACCAGATAAAAGGCTTTTTTTAAAGTCAAGATATACGACATCAATCTCTTCTCCTTTGTCCAGGTGATAGGTCACCTGATCGTAGAAGGAAATGAGATTGGTCAAGCAAGACCTACCCGCAACAAACCTGTGCTGGCTATCACTCGGGATGTTGCCTTCAGCCAGCCTGTTAAGAATAGCCTCTTTGATAATCTTTTCTAAAACCTTTCCCAGGATAGAGGTCAGGCTGATGGGCCTATAGTTTGCTGGATCCACTTTCCTCCTTTTCTTGAAGATAGGCACGACATTGGCCTTCTTCCAGTCTTTGGGCACTTCACCAGAGCACCAGGAGTTCTCAAAGATCCATGCCAGGGGCTAGCCAACTCCTTGAGTACCCTGGGGTGTAAACTGTCAGAGCTGGCTGATTTCAAAGTGTCCAGCCTCTTAAGGTGTTCTTTCACGAGGTCAGCATTGATGGAGGGTAAGTAAACTCCCTCGCCCAGGCCTCCCTGTCCCATAGTGGGCAGGGGCATCCCATGGGACTGGTGAATGACCAATGCAAAGTACCCATTTAGCAAGTGGACTTTATCCTGGGCGTCGATTGTCAGTTGTCCCATCTGGTTTAGCAGGGGTTCAATGTTACCCTTGTTTTTCCTGTGGCTCCCCACATATCTAAAAAAAGACTTTTTGTTGTCCTTGTAGCTAGTTGGAGTTCTGTTGCAGCCTTGGCTTTCCTGGTTTGCTCCCTGCACGTCCAGACCAGTGCAGAGTATTCCTCCTTGGAGGTGGATCCAGTCCTCCATCCTCTGTAGGTCTGTCTTTTTAGATGCAGGAGGTCCGCTAGTTCCCTGGAGAGCCAAGGGGGCCGCTGTGCCCTTTTGCTGCCTTTCCTCCGAGACGGGATAGTCTTTGCTTTCGCTTGCAGGATCGGACCTTTGAGGAGCAACCACTCATCCCGAACTCCCCTCCCCTTTGGGTTGTGGCCCTTTAGGTCCTCTCTGACGAGCCTCCAGAGCTTGTCAAAGTCAGCTTTCCTGAAGTCAAGGACTTCTGTATTGTTGACTGACTTGCCAGCTTTACCGCGGATGGTGAAGGTGATTAGCTTGTGGTCACTGTCACCCAGCTTCCCTTCGATCATTAGGTCACTGATTAGGTTGTCCCCTGTTGCTAGAACCAGGTCAAGCAGCGCTTTACCTCTCGTCGGCCCATCGACTTCTTGAATCAGATAGAGCTCATCCACGCGTGAGAGAGCGCTTTGCAACTGCTTGGATTTGGCCGACTGCTCTTCCCATGAGATGTCTGGGTAGTTGAAGTCTCCCATGACAACCATGCACCGGGAGCATGCAGCCTCAGCTAATTCCCTGGCAAACTCCTGGTCAAGCTCTTGATCCTGGGTCTGAGGTCTTTAGTAGACTCCAAAGGAATGGGCTTACAGCGTCCATAAAATTTGTGGCTTGTTTGCCTTTTTCCTGATGGAAGAAAGTTAGAGTGCTGGCAGACCTAGGAAGTGGTAGTGGTTCAGCCTCAAATTCATACTGCTTCTTGGAGCCCCACACATACGACCTCTGTAGGTTAAGACTCCACGATTGTTGGAATTGAGCACATTGGAGTAGGGAGAGAGCGAAGTCAGGAACAGCCACTTTAAGTGGCATGTAGCCCTGCCAACTTGGTTGATTTATCATTGGAATTTTGGGTAAGAGTTAGTAGTGACTTACGTTGCTTAACCCTGTTTCAGGGCTTCTGGTTTTCAGAGCAGGGTAAGTACAGATGTCAGGGAAGAGAAAGAGACTGCTTGTATGAAGGCCTCTGAGGAAGCTTTGTTGTGAGCTGGATGACAGCTCGTGAAGCATCAGGAGCAGTACTCCATAATACAGCTGTTGCAGTCTTGTTTCCTGTTCCTTGGATTTCACTAGGCCACCTTTCTTACCAAAGATTAGAAAGCTCTAAAAAGGTAAAAAGAGAGCAAAGTCTGTCTTGTAAATCTTTCAGTAAGCTTTTCCCTTTTCCTGTGTGTATTTTCTCAAAAAGCACACAGTTGAGACCACAGTTACCCAGGCAAGAAAGTTAAGTTCCTTCCTCATGGAATTTACCATGAAACCTACATGTGTGAGATTTGAATAAAGTTGAAAGTTTTCAGGTTTCAAATCTGCCCTTGTAGTTTCATTCCATTTACTGCATTGTGAAATTATTATTTTCTTAGGAATAGCACTTCAAGTCATTCCAATGCATTATATTAAAAGCCAGTTTTTAAACAAGAGATTTTGGTTATGTTGTTTGGTAATGATTACATGATGTTTGGAGTTTCTTTGCATACTTTATATTTGAAGTAAAATACCTGTTGGTTAATTTAGCAAACTGACCCTATATCATATTTTTCTGTTCACAACATGACTGCACTCATTTAATAATGCAGTCTAAATGTTATGGCCATAATAAATGCCAGTTTTGTTTCCTGCCCTAAAACTAGTTTTTCTGTACTGTGAATTCCATGCCAACTATAATTCAAAGGGCATTTTGGTTATTTATCAATTCTCTGCTATTTTTCCTTTTGTTAGAATAGTTTGCACCTACGTTTCCTCAGCATATTGTTAGGCTAAACTCTGGCAAGAAAGCTGATTGATATGGCTCTTTGTGTCCTGGCTAAATAGCTAAACATCAGTATATTGTGTCTGCACTTGGGGAAAAAAAATAGGATGTAATTAAATCTGTTTCACCTTGAGTAGCGTGACATTTTCTGTTCCTTTCATGTCAACCTTTATTCTCTTCTCTTCTGTAATCAGATTTCATAACCTCATTTATAATGTTTTCTCATTTAAATAGTCTCTAAATATATGTAAAGGTTGTATTGCTAGCTAATTGCTGACTTTCACATGCCTGCATTGATGTTTTGAAAATTTTTGGGTTTTGCATGTGCGGCTCTCCCAAGCATGCAAGACATCTTTGTTCAAAAAGTGCTCAATTGCTAGGTAGAAAGTAATTCTGTCATACCCGCTCTTACATTTCTTGTCTTAGACATACAATGGACTGGATCATTGTCCCAGGGAAACAAGAGTTTTTCTTTTACAAATTGCACCATCAGGAAAGGCCTGTGTACCAACAGACATAAAATGTAAGAGGGCATGCTTAGCTAATCCCTGTAAAATCAGCAGTATAGATTTTTGTGACTACAAAGATAACATTTGCCATTCTGTAGTGGCAAGTGCCTATCAAAAGAGACTGAAAGAACCTGAATCTGAAATTTTTTTAGTGCAGGGGCCATAACAGTAAATTGCACAAAACCTCCCTAAATTCTAAAATGCATACATAGAATCTGGTGCACAGCTAAAAAGAGCACTAGCAAAGGGTTTTGGGTCCAAATTCAACCTAAAAAGTAGGTGGAAAATATTTTTTTTGTATATTTTTTTCTTTAGATTAAAAATCTAAATATATATATAAAAATATATTTTTAATTTTTATTAAAAAAATAATTTTTTTGTATATTTTCTTTGTAGATGTCTAGGTTGGTGAGGGAAGAGATTGCTACTATATCCTTAATTTCTTCTTTTTCTTAGCTCTAGCATCTCATCCCCCAACCTAATTTCCTCCTATTATCACCATTCTAGCTGTATTATTGTTTTCTGTAATTAGTGAAGATACACATCTATCTTCAGGCTACCACCTAATCTCTAAGGCCATATGGGTAAACAGAATATAATTGCTATTTGGTAGAAACTGAGCCTTCCATTTGTGGGTGTATTGTTCTCATTTTGTTTTAAAGCAGGTACGTTCGGTGTATGATGTAGTAAGGATAGGTGATGGATTTCTTCAAAATTTATTCCTTTTTCTTATGCTTGAAAAGGTTCTTTTTTCAATTTTTGTGGGGAGTTGGGGAGAGGGGGATCATGATTTTGCTGCAATAATGAGAAATTGTTATATTACAATTTGATAATACCCTGCAGATTGTGTAGAAGACTGGTGCATTGCATACATATATTAACAGAGGTCATCTCTTCTGTTTCCCTCTTTTTCAGTTATTTTTATTTCAGTTGCTGCGAGGACTGTCTTACACCCATCAGCGTTACATTTTGCACAGGGACCTGAAACCACAGAATCTTCTGATCAGTGACACAGGGGAGTTAAAGCTGGCAGACTTTGGTAGGAAAGCAGTTAATTTCAAGTCTCTTTTATAACATTGTAGGAATGTCAGACAGATGTTTCATTGATTTTACCCATTCCTTAGACACACCTACTTCATTGTAGATATTTGTAAATTATTCTCCAAGGCTAAGGCATTGATTATTGTCACCATAATGCTTGATTAAAAGGAGCAAGTGGTTAAAAAAAGTATACTCTAGATCCCATGAGAGAGAATAAGTACAATGAAAGTAGTTCAGTCCTCATTGCTTCAGCACCTCAAGACTTAGAATTTAGAAGCAAACCTTTGAAAAGGCAAAGAAATTCAGGCCTCAGGGTATGCAGGAGATACTAAGTCTGTGATCACTTATGTGTACAGCCCTTAGGACATAAGGTTCTAGAAACAGGATTTACTTTTCATGAAATGGCCTCTGATTGATTGAGGCTTGTGGAAATAAAAAGAAATATTTCCCTTGAAGATTAGTGGAGACAACGATTATGTGGCCTATTTCAGTATCTGTTGTTGGTCCCTTGTTGGGGAACTCTATAAGCATCTCATCATGAGATATTCTGTGTCCCTTCCTTGTGAGGCTAGCCTCCCTTAGCAATGCCTTGACACACTTTTTCTAGAAAATGTCCTTTTCCTGTCAAGGACAATGTTGATGTGGGTGTCAGAAGATGTTAATGCTTTTTTGTTGGTATTAATAAAAAAAAAAGAAAAGTTCTTTGTTTACAAGTGTTAGTTCCCAAATACAGACAAACAGTTCAGGCATTAGATGTAGCTGATGTAAATTATAACTCCATTGACTGCAGTGGACTTGCATTTCAAATACATAATATTACACAAGCTGGGAATATGGCCCATCAATTTCTTGTAATGTCTCTCTTTTTTTTTTCCTACCCTGCCTGCCACACTGGGTTTCACATTCAATTTCCCAAGTGTAATGAGGGGGCCTTACACACTAATTGACAATTTCACTTTTAATTTGGTGGTGTTTTTGTCTTTTACTTCTAGTTACTTTGCTTAACAGCTGTGTATGCTTGCACACAGTCCATGAGAACTTGATTTGCTTGTAGATTCCGAAGCTGTTAAAGAAACAGAATCAGGAGTGAGAGATGTACTGTGTTATTCACCCTTTTTGTTGCTGCTTTTTGGTACTTGAAGGGTACTTGTTAGATGAAATTCTTTTTTTAATTTTAAATATATCTCAGACCTGCTAGATACTATGTTTTATATTCAGATTTTCCTAGAGACATACACGAAACATTAGCTCTCTGATGAAATAAGCGTTGTTTGACTTGTTTCCTTGAGTGAAATTTCTAGTTTTGCAATGAGATGCATAAGGACACTGAATAGGTACTGATTTGTATTATGACACATTAAACCCCTCAAGGGATTCTGATGAAATATTATCAAGTTGACTGGTAGTGAAAGGCATACTTATGATTGCTAACAGTTTCTGTTCTAATGCCACATTTCAGACAATTACCTTTTCTTTTGTGCTGAAGATCTGTGACCAATGGGAAATCCTACTTATCCAGTTTGAGTTCAAGAAGTTCATTCTGAAGAAAGATTAATTATGTTTCAATACACATGGATAATAGGAAACCTAGCTGTAGTTTCAAACTTCTGACTTTGTGGATACTACTTTGGCTGTAAGCTCTTTTGGACAAAGACAGACATACTGACATGTTTGGGCTGTGCCCAAGAACTAGTGTCTTGGTCCATCACTGGGTTCCTAGGTACTATTGCAGTACCAATAAAGCAATAAGTAAATAATATTTTAGTTCTCTTCAGAGTTGCACCTTTGTTAGGTTTGTTGGGGTAAAATAAAAACATGCTTGTTTTCCTACTCAGGTGGGTATCAGATACAATTTTAGCAGGCTTTAATGAAGTCTTGTTCTCTTTATGGCATCACTACACATCCTCTCCTATATCTTCACAGGTGTAGATCTGCCAAAACAGTCGACATATCTCCTTGTAATGCAGGCAGCACACTCCTCTAAAGGTCTCCCTGAAAAAAACAGGAGAAAATTGTGGAGATTTCTTTTTAGAAAAATGTGTTGGCAGAATGCTGAGGCCTACAATTAACTGCAAATTCCCCTTGCTTATGCTGCACTGGGTCTATGACACTCCTCTCCTTCCTGGACTAGGGAAATACATGTAGCTTACATCAGATATATACTTAACTGAGTTGGGACTATGAAATCACCAGTAACACTTTCCAGTATTAGGCAGGCCACTTGAACACCACAGTTCCACTTTCTTGTTCTCTTTAAGCCGTGGCATTAGGCAGTATATGTGGCATCTGCTGTTTTTACTGACTGCCTTCCACCTGCCGTGTGAGGAGATGCCTTCACTGTTTACCTCAGATGAAGTCCTGGCTGCATTGTCAAAGTCAAGCGGGACCAGGATTTCATTTCTTCGTTAACAAAAATTCAATTTTTGAATGTAAGTCTTGGCGTAATGTATTATTTTGAAAGGATAGAGTCTAGGTAAGGACCAGACATATAGATAGAAAAAATGCTTGCAATGCAGCATTCATTTTTCTGTTGCTGTTTGGGGTTAGAGAGAATTTTTTATTACTTCCTTGTGTTTATTTTGTTTAACAAAGTAATCTGTATAATCCTGTATAACTGATATGCTGAGAGAAGATTATATTGTCTGCATTTTTCCAAGTTATTTTTTCTTGTGACTCATGACCTTGTGAAATCGAAAACCAGATGGATTTGGTTCCCCCTCCTGAAAACCAAGATGAAAAATTAAAAACTATGAGGTAAAAAGCTATAGGGTCATGACCTCCTTCACTGACAGCATGGGAAATGAGAAGGCAGACAAATATCCCTCTCTCTCTTTAATACTATGCAATTATACAAAAAAGGACATACTTTTAAAGATGTAAAATACAATCTTGTTCATGTTTGAGCTCTATGTCCCTCAGGCTACTTCTTCTCTGGAAGGGTCTTATGAAGGAAGTTGGTGTAAATTATATTTCGGATTAATTAAAGTACACGAGAAACAAAAATGTAAATTAGAATTTTTTTTTAAATACACCCAAGGCAGAAATAAAAAGCCAAGGAGAAATCAGTTTCTGTCAGAGAAATTGACTTTGCCAGTGTAATAAATATCAAATCTTAGACTATAAAGGCCTTTCAGTCCCAGAGGAGAAGACCTTCAGAGTTTGGTTTCATAAGTTTACAAAAATCAACTGCGCTGTCCCAGTTTTTAATTCAGTGTCAGGTTTCATCCCCTCTGTTTAATGTATCAAATACCCACAAGTAGGCTTTGGTAGATCATTGTTCTTGTATAAACACGGTAAAGGAAAAGCCGCTCGTGCTTCTTGGTGCATACTATTACAGCTGTAGAGGAATCTTTACAAAAGTGTAGGCACCGGCTTTTCTAGAGGATAGTTCCCAGATATTGACACTTTCGTGTGTGCGAGTATCATTGTTCAGCCACTAGTTTTGCTTTTTAGTACTGTGCCTTTTACTGCAACACTGCAAAAAGGGCACTTATGAGAAGAGAGACCCAGTAATCGAAAGAAAAGAGGAGAATGGACCAGAGATGTTATCATTAAAAATTGATGAAGTATAAAAAGTTGTTTCAATAGCACAATATGAAATTGAAGAATATATCTGGATTAATTTCAGCTACAAAACATAGACCAAATAAAAATGCCACTCTCTTACTTTATTCTAAACCTAATTAAAATTCTAGGGGAAGTTAGAATATGCCAGTTCTCCCTATGGAATGATTACTTGAGAGTAAGAATTAATTTTTAACCTCTTTGTGAATTTAGTTTTAAGGGGATTTTTTGTTTGTTTGTTTTTAGATATGTCCCTTCTAAATGGAAGTAAGGTGCTAAACCTATAATGAATAGAACCATGTGAAATTACAAATATGAAATTAATATAACTGCTTACTTTAAATACAGAGGCCACGTCCAGATGAGTGAGCACATGCCTGTTGTGGCATCTCAAAGTGCAAGAGGCATGCTAGGAATGAACAAAAGTTCCCTGGCCTGCATATATGCAGCGCGGACTCTAAATTTGATACCAGGAAATCACAGTATAAACCCCGCTCCCCAAAAACATGCTGGAAAAAACGCAGCACAGGACACACTCCTGGAACATACCCAGAGGCAACTAAAGGCTGGGTCCTCCAAGGAGATGCTCTGGCACCCAGCCAGAGTGTCTCTATGGCTGCTGTGTGCCCCTGCTGCTCCAGCACATTACCTCAGCATGCTGGGGAAAATAGGACCAGGCAAGGCTGCAGCAGCATCTCGGACCCAGGCTCTGTTCCAGGTAAGTAGGGATGTGGCGGTGAAGGGACTGTGGGGACAGGGAGTCTGTGGGGGTGAAGGAGACTGCTTGGGAGGGATGGGTCTCTTGCCTGCCTCCCGCACGGCTCACAACCCTCCTCCCTGCAGCAACAGCAATGCTGTTGGGGCTCTCATGGCCCACTGTTGGCAGAGACCCCCGGTGGTGTGGTGTGGTGTGGTGCCGGCTCAGACGAGGCAGCTGCACATGGCGCTGGCCTGGCTGCTGGCATGTGCTCTCAAACAGGACCGGGCCGCTCTTGCTGTCATGCAGGGCTCCTGGCACTGCACACAGAAGCTACACGCCATTGTGCTGGGCCAGGGTCCTGCCTCCATGGAGCTAGCCCAGCCTGATGGTGTGTGGGGCATATGGAGGCAGCAGCCACCCCGGCCTGAAGGCATGTGGCTTCTGTGTGCGGTGCCGGGAGCTGTGAGGGACAGCAAGAGAGGCCGGGTTTTGTTTGAAGGCACATGCAAGTGGAGCGGGCTGGCACCATGTGCAGCTGCCAGGTCTGAGGTGGCAGAGCACCGTCAGGAGTCTCTGCCAACAGTGGGCCACAAGTGGCCCAGCAGCTGCTGCTGCTGCTGCTTTGGGGGAGCTGTGTGCCATGTGGGAGGTAGACTGGGTACCCCTCCCAAGCAGTACCCGCACACCTACACAGTCCTTCCACACCCACAAGTTCCCCCCCAATCCATCCAGAA